CACCGCCCCCTCCACCAGTGCCCTGTGCCCCCCCCCTGCACCGGGGCCTGGTGCATCGCAGAAGTGAGTCCAACCACATGAGTGTCAAGAGACTGCGATGGGAGCAGGTGGAGAACTCGGAAGGGACCATCTGGGGACAGGTATGGCCTAAGCATGGGGAGGCAGTGGGGCATGGTGACATGGGTCCAAACAAGTCTGTGTCAGCAAAGTTCACTTGGGAATAGCTGTTGGCTATGACCTGTGCTGAGGCATTCACTGCACAGGTCAGGAGGAACATCCATGTGCACCACTCTTCCCTTGCTCAGTGCATTGTGGGGGGGTTTGTCCTTTCCTTCCCTTGAGCATCATGTCTCAATCACTTGTTAGGCCACAAATTCAATACCTTGACCAAGGGAAAGAATTCTGAAGATGTTATATTACAGAAAACCTCCTATTTTTATTCATCCTTTTAATTGCTTGGACTGAAACTGAAGGGATGAGAAGAGGCTTGCCGGTGGCTGCTTGCTTTCCCTCGCTCTGTGGTTTGATATAGGCAGAAGCTGCCTTCAGACTCATTCAGCAGGTGTAGGAGATTTTATCAAGGAGGAACTGTGAGCATAGTTGAAAGAAGAGAAGTGGTGGAGAGAGCACCAAGGCAGGAGGAGAACTCTGCAAGGGGCAAAACAGAGGCTAGATGTGAAAGCTAGATGTCTTAATTTGGCATCCTGAAGTGAAGCAGAAATGCAGTGATGACTAAGCGATACAGAAATCTCAAGGTGGATTTAAGTCATTGTGGGAAGAAGTTGACCTCGGTTAAATTTAAATTCCAGCCTCCATGTTTCTCATTGTGAATAATATGTTTAGATGTGCCATATTCTTCATGCCCTGAACAGTTAGAAGCTGTAGGATCATCTTCTAGTCCCACAAGTACTTACCTTAGGGCAAGCATTTTAAGTACTTCATCCCTGAGTACAGGTCTCTCTTCCCCTGGCAGTCCAGAGAACAAGATATTTCTTCCCAGTGATTTTTGGATGCAAAAAATTCCTGAGGTTTCTGGAATTCCCATTTTGTGCTTTAGTAAAGTAATCCTGCCCAAGTAGCATGTGAGCAGCAATATTACTTTGCAGAATTTCAGCTGTGTGAAGCAAGGCTAAATTAATCAAGGGTGGGGAGGGGGACTGACACCAGCTGCAAAGATAAAAGGAAATGCTGAAAGGCTGAATCTCTGGGTTTCTCCCTTTCTTGTAAAAAGAGAACGGGTCCCGTGGGATGTGGTTGGCAACTACTGTTAAAAACTGCCTCCATAAGAGGTAAATGATGATTCATCAGACTGGTTTCTGCAAGGGATTTATAATGGCTGAATCCCCAGTTACAAGGGAAAATGCCATCAATATGTCCTGGGTTTTTATAGGGATGCAGAGCTTAGAGTGGTGAAGGAGGGAATGTAGTGTAGAATAGGTGGACAGTATACAGCTTTCCCCTGGGTAGCACGTTACTGACCCTTTCTCCTCCTGCAGCTTGGAGAAGACTCGGATTATGACAAGTTGAGTGATATGGTCAAATACCTTGACCTGGAGCTGCACTTTGGAACGCAGAAACCTACAAGTAAGCATGTAAATGCCAAGTGTTGTGATTAGAACCATTCCTGGTACTAGGAGAAAAAAGAGGTGCTAAGAGAGAAATGAAAGAAAATAATAAAATAATGTCTAGTTGTCAGCACAGAGTTCATCCTCAATGCTTTGTGATTGAAGGCATTGCAGATTATTAAGGTGGAGATCATTTTACAGTCTCCCTTAATTTTTCTCTGTTACCATTGTTTGTTTTCTTTCTGCATTTCAATCAATCTGGGCAGTGAAACTCAGCTGGCTGGTTTCACTCCTTGTTATGCTCAATTCTGCTTCCTGTGCACTCAGCTTGATTCTTACACTGTTGTGCCTAGCCACCCTCCATACTGCATGGGAAAGCTTATATGCCAAAAATGCATTTCATTGCCATGAAGGGCCTGTTTTTCAATAGAACAGAAACTTAAACCTGCCCTACGTATTACAACAAATTGTCCACAATTTCTGCTTATTATTGTCTGTGTGTTTTAGGATAACAGCACATATGACTAGTCAGCTGGGCACCTAAAATTGGCTATTTGCATGCACAGATACCTGGCTGTGCTAACAGCAACAGTAACTAACTGCAAATTAAGGAAGGAATTACAGCTCTGTTGCCTTGAGAACTAAGGCCTGAAAAAAAACATGAAAACATATCTTTGTCCATAGAGAGCATTACAAGTAACACTTTTTCTTTTACGTATATAGGGGTTTTTTCCCCCCCCTAAAACCTACACGTGACGCCCAGCGCTAGCTGTGCTAGCCAGCGCACCCTCAGTTCGACAGTGTATCGGGTATTGCTCTGTCATCAAGCTCTTTAATCTGGGCCTTCCTATAGATATAACAACTTGGCTGTTCCACTGGGGTTAGCAGGCACTACAAACACAGAGGATGAGTCCAGTCTCCGGTGCCAAACAGCGGTGAGAGATGGGTGGGGTTCAGGGACCCAGGGTGCATGCGACACACTCCTGACCTATTCCATATGCTGTCTGAAGGGAGGCGTGGGAGTTGAGATCAGCCTTCGTGGCAGAGCAGACCAGGGCGAATGATAGATCTGTGTGCGCGCTTGTGCATGTGTGCTGAGGGAGGGATGGGTTGCGCAGAACACACTTGGCGGTGATGTGGGTGAGCAGTGTCCTTTGGGCAGGAGAGGCAGTAAAACCGAGCTGCCTGAAGGGCAGGCTCCGCTGCCTCATTTATACTCAGAAAAGTAAAATATGAATGGCATGTCCGAGTTCACCTAAAATGAACCTGATAACAGATGGCACACGTTGGCAGAGTTAAGCAGGGAATGCTAGTACAGGAAGATGCAAATGGGATTTGACAGTGGAAATGGGATGAAATGGATTTGTTCTCAGGGGCTGTCTTTTTTAGAGATGTTTCTGGATAATCTAGGATTGTCTGTGTATTTTACTTCTTGTTTTACCTTTTTCAGCTCCAACTGAGTCTTCCATTCAGGAGATCTTTGAATCACAGAATTCAAGGATTCCCAGAGCCATTGCTGTGTGCAGAGCATCAGTTCTCCTCTCTCTCATTCATGAGTTCACTGTTTTCAGTGCAGTTTTCTTCCTGCTGGAGTTGGCTGAGCCTGTCCTTACCCATGATTAAATCTTTCAGTTTCTCTTCCAGAACCAGCTCTCATGCCTGAATCCTTTAAAAAGAAAGATGTGGTTGAAATTTTGTCCCACAAAAAGGCCTACAACACATGTAAGTAAACATCACAGTGAATGTACCCCCAAAACAGACCCAGAGATGGGTCCAGGGATGTAGAGAACTGGAAAGGTAAAAGGAAGGAGGCTCAATGAGTGCATCCCAGCATCGCTATTTCTGTCTGGGCTGTTCTTCTAGCCCAGATAAATCCACTGCCAGAGTGTTGCTCTTAAGCTGGCAGTCAGCCTTGGCCGGGGAGAGGGCCTTTAAAAAAGGACTGAGATGGGATGTGACTCATTAGCATGGAGAGGGAGAAGGGAGTGACTGGTGTGTGCGGCAGCCTCACAGCCATCAAGGAAAGGGTCATTGCAGTTTTGCCAGGTGTGCCTCTGGAAGGTACAAAGGGGTGGGAGGGCCTGGTGGGACCCTGTGGAGACCCTGACTCTCCTGGCCTGCTGAGGGATATGAAGGAGAAAGAGGTTCTGGGAATCCTTCCCAGGCTCCATCCTCTGTTTCTTCTGAACTGGCATAAGGTAACGCAGACTGGGAGCAGACAGGTTTTAGACTTTCCAGCACATGACCCTAAAGTCCTCCTCTCTTGGTCGTGTTCTCTTGCTCTTCGTTGACCACTCCTTTATCCAACACAGTACTCAAATGAACTCTGAGCACAGGAGACTGAGTCAATGTGTCTCCAAGTTTGGCGACAGTTTCCAGTGCAGCCCAGCTAGGGAGGGCCTGGGGACTTCTACACCTGATGCGGGCTAGTGGTGTACGTGCAAAATGATGCAGTGGTGTACGTGCAAAATGATGCAGTGCCCTGCCCAGTGGCTGCAGCACCGGAGTGACTCCTCAGGGCCCCTTGCAGCCTCTGCAGAGAGGCCATGTGCCTCAGGGAGTGAAAAACCCTTCCCCCGCTGTGCCACAGTGGGCACATGGAGAAATCCATATCCCTCTCACATTGGGGAGTGATTCAGAGCTTCCCTTCCTGGCCCTGTCTTGTCAGGCAGCCTGCTCCAATACAGCCAGCTCCTGGAGTCTGGTCCTACTCTTCTCCCAAGTGATGTGCCTTCCTTCTTCCTCCAGCCATCCTGATAGCTCATCTCAAGCTCTCGCACGTTGAGCTGCGCCAGATCCTCATGACGATGGAGACTGACCGCCTGGAGCCTTCTCACATCAAGCAGCTCTTGCTGTATGCCCCTGATGGGGAAGAAGTCCAGCAGTACCAGAACTACAAGGATAACCCCAGCAAGCTGAGTGAGCCAGACCAGTTTGTGTTACAGGTAGCTGCACACAGCGATGTGCTCTGGGGAGTGAGGAGGCCTGGATATGTAGTGTCTCTGAGATGCTGCTGAGAGCTGTAGAGTAGGAAAAACAGCAAAGAGAAAGCGGTCAGCAGGATTCTGATTTGCCTGATAGCACTCAATGTTGTGTGCTCAGGGATAAGAAGAGTCAGTGGGTCTGGTCCAGTCTGCGTCTGAGCTAGGCTTCGGATGATGCCTGAGGTGTCTGGGAGCTGCCATGTGTTTGGGAAGCTCCCAGCAGTAGCTGTTTTACAACTCAAGCATACCACAATATTTACTTCATGGTAAGAGTGAGTGACTTTGTCCAATTCTGACTTACTTTCTGTTGACAAAGTCACTTGTGGATATTGGTATAAAACCTCTCCCTGCTGGTGGCAATGAACTGGATGTGGTCTGCTAATGCTACAAGAGATATCCCCAGCTGCTCTGCTGTGTGACCCATGCTAAGCAAGTGTACATTGTTTTCCGGTGTAGGGCAAATTGCCAGGGGACACCATATAGGACTCAGTTAATGGTGACAGTAGTAATTTTCTCTTCTCTTGTTCTCAGATGTTATCAGTACCAGAATATAAGATCCGTCTGCGCAGTCTTCATTTTAAGAGCACTCTGCAGGAGAAGACAGAGGAGATCAAAGCTAGCTATGAGTGCATCTGCAAGGCCTCTCTAGAGCTGAAAAGCAGCAAGAAGCTGGCTAAAATCTTGGAGGTCAGAACAGTCCCTATTCTTGGTGACAGCCGCTGGGGGGCCCCAGTGTCCATCAGGGAGCTTGCAGGCAGCAAGGCAGTTTGCTGGAGCCCTGAGTACTGCTCTAGCCCCGAGGCTGTCCTCTGGCGGCCTCCAGAGCCAGCTCAGCCACGGCTTCTTTCCCCTGAAAACTAACTCTGTTTTAGCTTGTGTGAATCCTGGCAAAAGGCAGATCTCGCACAGCCACCCAGTAACCCAGCAGCAGAACGTGCAGTTCCAACAAACTGGCTCTGACTGCACGGTAGCCCAGAAAGCAGACTGCCCAAATGTGTCTCACAGGCTGTAAACTGTTGACAAAGACTAAGGAGATTTTCCTTTAGCTGTGGTGGAAAGGGCTCTATTATATTTTGGGGTTTGAGGATGGGGGTTTTGTCCAAACAGTCACTATGTCTACATGTACATGTACAATGGTACGTGTACCATGGTCTACATGGTACAATACAGAAAATGCAAGGAGCTCTGAGCTGCTATCACTCAAGCATGCTCTGGAGCCAGATGCGGCATGATACTGCATTGATGCTGAGATAATATGCTCTACATTAGCAGGCAGCACTGCATGTAGCCCAGGCTAGCCTCTCTGTATGGTAGTGTCCTTATACCAGCTGTACACTGGCACAGGGCAGGGATCCCCGCACCATGCCTGTCACGTTGTGAGGAGGTGCCTTCTGGAGGTCCTAGGGCCAGAGATGCGCAGTGCAGAGAGGGGCACCATGCATGCAAAAGAGAATGACTCCGTCCTAGCTGGTTGCAGCTGCCCTCTGACTCTACTTAGATGTTCCCCACCAAATTAATGTTAATTCATTTGGCTTTGCTTTAAAAAAAGCAGGTAGGATATATAAGAACATGATGTGACAAAAGATATTTCCAGATGAGAGATGAAACTCCTCAATGGCTCCTGCCCAGTAACCTTATAACACCTAGTTAAGTGCTTGGGAGGCAATGCTGGCTGCACATTAACTTGCAGTTAGCAGAAATTCACAGACCCCCAGGATGAAATCCAGGCAAGAAGCCTCTCTCTGGCTTCTTGTCAGGACAGGCCCTGAGGTTCCTTTGTTCTTCACGAGGCACAGCTAGCCTTTCCCAGGTGAGGGAAGTCTGGAATCCCTTCCAGAAAGTTCAGCCTGAGGGTCTTGTACCTCAAATGCTGCAAGCCACAGCATTAGGAATCAGAGAATTCTGGAGGGGCAAAAGATGGCTTTGATAGATTACTATTTTTTTAAAAAAATATTGCCTTAAAGATCTCCACATAATAGCTAAAAAAGGCTTTTGGACCCAGAGAGTTTAGGCACTCTACTTACTGGTCAGCTGGAGAGTCCTTATCCTACAGGCGAGGAGCTCTCACAGTGCACCTAGAGACTTAGCCCTGGTCCTGAAAAGGAAGTTGTTGAGAAATAAAAAGGTAAAATCAGATTGTGCACACCCAAAGCCTAAGACTGTAACACAAGGCAAAATTCCCCTTTAAATTTTAACAAAGCATGGGTATCCACACAGTCAGGTCTGAAAGTGGAAGGGGAGCTGATTCAATGTGAGTCATGATGCTCCAGGCCACTCTGACCATGCAGCTCTCCTGCAGCTCTCTATAGCACAGACCTTCTTCTGGACTGCTGCAGGAGAGGGGAGAGGACTCCTGGGCAGCATTCAAATAAGCTACACATGGAAGCATCCAAATGTCCTCTCATAAGGTCTTTGGAAATTTGGATCTGCAGATGGCAAATGTATTGTGCTTTCTAGCCCTTTCTGAAGATGCATAACAAAAGGAGTGGGATGAGGACCAGTTCCTGTAGCTGGAAGTGTGTGGGCTTTGCTGATGAGGGTTTAGTGCAGGCTTCTTACAGGAGGAACACATGGCACTCTGGGAACCTGTTGCTTGATGCTGCCAAAGAACAGAACAGTCCGCCCCATTGGACCCATGTTGCTGTGCGTTGGGGCTGCCAGGCTGATGGGCACATTAGCACCTATGATTGCCCTGTGTGGGTGTGATAGGATGAACAGTGTGCACAGAACCAGAGGAAGTTTTGTCTTTAACATATATTCATCTAGCTTATATAACACACTGAATGAATTACTAAGTTTTTGTTATGATGTTCTATGAGCATGTGTACCGTGGCCATTAGCAGAACTGACCTGACACAGAAAGGAGGATGCTTTCTTAGCTTACTGTGGATGGAAGCTTTTTTATCTCTGTTCCTACTGCATTCTTAGTAGGTCTCTCTGACCCAAAAGCAGTACAAGAGGAGAAGGGAGATGGGAGACAGGGTAGGTGCTGGAGGTCACTGGCAGTTATTCACACAGGTTTCTTCTTGCAGTTTGTGCTGGCGATGGGAAACTATCTGAACAACGGGCAGCCCAAGACCAGCAAAACAACAGGCTTTAAAATCAACTTTCTCACTGAGGTAAGGAGATGAAGCATGCTTGTCCTTGTGAAGGAGGCACGAATTCCAGGAGCACCAAGTGACCCATTTATCAAGCTTGCACTCATACAAGGGCTTCTGAAAGCCGTGGCTCCCAGAGAGAGGTAACAGTGGGAGGGAAGGGATTGTATCACAAGGCTGACTTCAGAGAGGCACTAATGATGGTCCAGTGCATTACTGTGCAGGGATCTAAGACTTACAGTCAGGTGCTAGGCTGGTCAGAGCTAATGGTTTTGTGGCTACGAGATGAGAGAAAATGAGGGTCTTTATCCCGCTTGGGTAGCTGCGGTATGTACTGGCAGGGCATGTGCTAGAAGGGTTGCCTGGGAGGTGGGAAACAGCATTACAGTTCCTAGGCTTGGGGAAGGAGGAATGATGCCACTAATCTGGGTGTAACATGCTGTGTAAACATTAAATGTCTTGTTTAAACATTAATTCAGCTAGTATGGCTGGGAATTGCCGTGCACATAAATGCACGGTGAACCAAGCAGAATAGAGGAGTCCCTGCGTATTTTGATAACCACAGACAAACTGAATGTTTGGCGAAACCCACTCTCTTCTGCTTAGGAATCTTCTTACTTGTTTTGCTTTGCTGTAGCTGAACACAACCAAGACTGTTGATGGGAAATCCACCTTCCTGCACATTCTTGCCAAATCACTTAGCCAACATTTCCCAGAACTTCTGGGCTTTGCCAAGGATCTTCCTACAGTGCCGCTCGCTGCCAAAGGTAAATGAACAAAGAGCATCTGTAGAAAATATGGAACACACAGGGCCAGTGAAGTTCTTTGTCTCCCTGTACTATCCCTTGGTTTTGTACTGCTATAGAATTGGTCACAAACTGCATGACACTGGCACTAGCAGGAGAGGGACAGCAGCCCAAAAGAATGAGAAATGGTACTGAGTTAGCGGACTGCACTAGAAAGGAATGAGCTTAGTGATGCAGGAGTGCCCGTCTGTCACACGCTGCCATACCTGGGAGTGTCCAGACAAGGCTTTGTCTCTGAACTGAACCTTTTTTCAGACTTGAGAAAGTCTGGTTACCAAATTCAGATATACCTTCTGAGCCCCAATAAGGGATAGAAGAGGAAGTGGCAGAATGCCTGTCTGTTCCACCCAGCTGCTATCTCCTTTCATCCTTGATGTGCAGGCCTCACCTCTGTTGAGACCAGCATTATTACTGTTTGTAATAACGTGTGGTGTATATAGTGTACCACATGTCGTATGCTATGAGTTCACAGTCCAATTGCAGACATGTCACACTGAGTGAGGATCGTACAACTTGGTTAGCTGTAATTAGAAAAAAAAAAAAAAGTCACATAGACCTTGGGGTTATCATCCACTTGTGTTGATATTCACAACATTCACAATTTGGCTGAATGCGAACCATGGGGCTGCACTCTCCTTGTGCATTATCCCCTGTCGTTTATGAATAATTCCCTTGGGAATTAGGGCTTAAAATAGATAAATAAAGCAGAACATTCAGGTGACGAGACTTAAATTTTCTCCTGATGAATGTCTATACCTGTAGCTTTCCTAGTTGAATTTTGTATTTGGCTAACTGTTCTTTAAATAATGCTTCTGTTATTGAATATTCACTGCTGCGCAAACTCCTACTCCTTTTTACACAATCTCAGACCTTACAGACCATATTCAGACCATTTGCTATCCAAGGCCACAAAGCTTCTCTCTCATATAAGCAACAGAGAGGCATAGCTGCAGTATGTAATCTAAATCCTTGTAACAGACATTGCAATTCACTTTTTCCATTGGCTGTGGAAGACACTATGGCTTAACAGCCCAAGATAGCAAGCAGTCTGAACTGCTTATCGCTCTCTTGAATGCTGGTGCTGTGATAAGCAGATATGTCAATTTTAGATGCCATGAAAGGCCATCTGGATATTATCCCTTGACTTACCATCCTGCATAGTACTCTTGCTACATTCCCCTCCCAAGTCAAAGTACCTGTGTATCCGTAACTGCTCTTGTGCCATCGAGTCCTACATGCTCCTTGCACTTGGCAAGTCCCAGGCTCCTTTTGAGATTCTTGGTACATCTTGCCCCGAGTCGGGCAGGAAGGTCTGGTTGTCTCAGCATGCCCTGGAGTTGGAGCTCCCACGCGATGCAATGCAGACAGGCTGTGCAGAGCCATGTAGAGCAGGGTGTAGTGGGACATGCACCTCCTAGGCAGCCTGAACCACCCTGATTGATGGCCTATGCTTGTTGCCCCAGTTTAACAACAGCAAGAACATCAGATCCAAGTCTGAGACACTGTTGAATCCTCTCTTGTTTAGTGAATCAGAGAACATTAACAGCAGACCTTAATGATCTTCACACCACCGTCAGTGACATACAGATGGCCTGTCGCAACATGCCAGCTACTGCAGAGGACAGATTTGCAATTGTGATGACTGTATCCTTCTGTAAAAGGGGCAAATCAGTAGTATGACTTACTGTCTTCAAGTAAAACCATTCAGTTATATTTATCCCTGTTTGGTAAGTTGCAATCCTGTGTCCAGCTGGTAAGAACGCACCATCTCAGCACCTGGTGAAAGGCACGGTGAAGAACTTCGCCCTCTACTCATTCTTAGCCAGCAACAAAAATGGCGCTCATGGTGACCACCAGTTCACATGCCTCTGCGCGAGCAAAACCTTTCGACAAGGCCACAGTGTTGTCTTTCCAGAAAGACAGCCATGCATGCAAAGCAGGCTCCCTTAGGATATGAATTTAGCCTGCATTTGCAGCAGGTCCTTACTTAGACCTTAGGTCAAATCCAGCTATTTTTATATAAGCAGAAGTGATTATAATCTGTACTGGATCCACACTAAGGCTGTTTTCCCTTAAGCCATTTCTCTCAGTCCTTTCTGGAGAGTGCCCAGCCTGCCATGCGATCTCTGGATGATCTGCAGCACAAAGCCATGGAAGAATTCAGCAAGGTGTTATCCTTTTTTGGGGAAGACTCTAAAGTCACAACTTCTGAAGCTTTCTTTGGCATTTTTGCAGAATTCATAAGCAAGTTTGAGGTGAGTTGCATTTTTAAAAGCCAGCCAGCAAGGGGGTTCCTGTTAAATGTTAGTAAAGTATTTTACTTGCATGTGAGCTATGGGAATGAGATGAACTTTTAGTGAGCACGGGTGCCTGAATGTCTGTAAAATGCAAATTTTTTTAACACACAATGAGATTGGCTAGTGCAGGAGGTTGAGATGAGGGTTCACCTCAGAGAGTAAAATAGAAGGTTTTACTCTCTGATGTTTTTGGTTAATGAAGGCTGCGTCACAGCACTACAAAGCAGATGGCAATGATTGGCAAGTCTTATGAATGTGTCCAGCAGAAAGCCTTGGGGCAGAAATGAAGCACAGCTGCAGCAGAACGGGTGATGAAGCAGCGATCTCTGCAGTTCTCATCCAAGCACCTCAGCCTGAACTAAGGAGTCCAGCCCGTGGGGCTCAGCCTCCTGCACAAGCATCAAATTTCCCATAAAGGGAAGCTGAAGCCAAACATGGTTCTAGCTCATAATCACATTAGGGTCACTCTTGTTTTGCCTGCACTTCTCAATACTGGCTAATTTCAGAAATGGTGTTATAGGGCAGTTTAGGGGAGAAGTAAGTCCTTGGTGGCTGGTACCTTTGAAATGTCCTTCCTGTCCATGCCAACTGCCTTTTGCCTGATGCTCTTCCGTTGTTTTCTTTCTCTTTCTGCAGCGAGCACTCAGTGATGTGCAGGTTGGTGAGTGCCAGCGCAGCCCCAGGATGACCTCCCCCCTTGCCTGGTGATAGGCCCATGGCGATGTGAGGTGCAACTATTTATTGCCAACAAAGTGCAATTTGCTCCTGTTGAGTTTGGTTGTAAATATGCTGCTGTCACCTGCTAGCACCAAGCAGAACCACAGACCAAGGGGAAGGGGCAATTTAGACCCCAAAAAGGTACCACAGATGGGCCACGGATGGATGCTAGGGTGAGGCACAGGTGTATGAAGGGAAACACTATATTAGTCTTGACAACATCTTTCGTAGCATCCTCCATCTCCAGCATATTACTGAATCATGGATTTCAGACACAATTGGATAAAATCTCATTCTCCCTCATTTCCAGAACACACCTAACTGGCACCAGCAATCACTGGAGACTTTTCCATATTCTTACAGCCCTTGTGTGGCTAGGTACAGAGTCTCCCCTTCCTTGCAGAACAGAGCCCAGGCCTTTCCCCCAGGCAGGCACTGCTTCCACCTAACAGCCTCAGGGGCCAGGAGTGGATCACAGCTGCAGATTCCATAAGGAACAGGAGCAGGTCAAGCAAAGAAGGGAGCACGTGGGAATGAGAACTGCTATCAGTGCTCCCCTTGGCACCCGTAAGAGGAACTGCTGATGAGCCAGTCTCAGATCCTTCTCCAAGCCCTGCTGCACTTGAGCAGTGTGAAGTGGGGCTGGAGTTTTACACTGACCTTAACGGCTTAGTGGAGAGGGCAGGAGTTAGCCCAGAGGTTTTAATCCCCTGCCACAATTGGCCAGTGACAATGGAAAGAAATACAACCTTCCAGGAAACCTTTACGGCACATCTGTATGTTCACACATATGGATCCAGTTTGATTTTACACAGTTGCTTTAGAGAACAAGAAAAGGCCCGGAGTCCTTCCTGGCTGTCAGCTTTGCTTGAAGGTGTGGCAATGACTGGCAGATCTTGAAATCTTCCTGAGAATTTAATATCAGCACTAGACTTACATGAACTTGCCAGGAGGCATAAATCCCTGACTATTTTGGGGCCTCCTTGGAAAGTACAGAACCCCTGGTAGTCTAAGCATTAATGGGAGTCCTTTGAAGCCTGCAGTACAGCTTCTGAGGCAAGCCAGAGACCAGTGAGAAATGTATTGCACGCCGCCTTTTCATTCATCCCTGAGGGCTGCAGTCCTCCGAGTCCATCTGACATAATGTATGATTTGACCATTCTTTCGTGCTGAATATATCCAGGGAACTCTAAAAGCATACATATCCATCTTTCAATGACCCCGATTATTATTTTGATAAATTTAATTCTCTGAGATGTCCTCTGGAATGAAAGGGCTAGCAGCATTCTGTGGTCAGTACATGCGCCTTCAGGTGGGACGGTGCCCCAAGAGCTTTATGGCAGTGAAATTACAGTGCGTTAATATTGTGAGGCATTACTTTGTGCAAAGTGCATCTGTTGCCTTTCAAATCTGACATGCTCAAATATCCTACGCTGTCAAAGCGCTCCAGCAAAGCCGTAGCTTAGATAACCTTCTTCACGTTCAATGGCAGAGCAAGAGCTCTTAACTGTAGCCCCTGCTGAAAGTACAGAATCACCACCTGGTGCATTATTTATGGGAGACCTTATGATCATCAAATCTTTGGTTTTCAATACCCACGTGGTTTTCTTTTTTTTTTTTAAACCCTGCTGTAGAACGTGAAGTATATTTTCACAAGTGTTTTCAGTTTATAGAGCTTTAAGTGCCAGGTAGTTTATAGCATTGTGTTATCGGAGGCCCAACCTTCTCCGTCTCTGTCTTTTCTCTCCACTGATAGTGGTGATAGGTCAATGAATGCTCATCTCTAGTTTCTGTTTTGGATGTTTCACACTGCATTCAAATTATTTTTTTTTCTAAAAACATATTGAGTATTTAAACCACCGGAGGTTATTTTGAAACTGTCATTAAAAATGTGAAAATGCTGTATATAGATTTTGCTACATGTTGTAACTTTCCAAAATAGTTAGAACTCCAGTCCCTTTAGTATTTTTATGTGAATATTTTCAAAGAATCAGAACTTCCGAGATACGGTTATATTATTTGGTAATGGGACTATGTATATTCACAGTTCAGTCTCTACCCAATGCCTATGTGCTATTCCCAAAATAAAGCTACTGCCTTCTGCCTCCTGACTGCATGTAAATCTATGTTCTGTTAAAAATTGCTTTGTACAACAGCTATAGAATGAAGGTGTGAGGAATTCTGTGTTTGGCACTTCTGTGACTGCCCGTCTTAATATCGGCCCCTTACATCTCAAAGGGATAGATGCAGAATCTGACCTTGTTTAATTTTGGGTGGTATGGGGAAAATAACTGCATAATTCTGAAAAATATTGCCAATAAATCAGCATTCTGGCTAGCATGATGAATATTAGCAGCAAAATTTTAAAATAGTATGGACTCTTTCTGCAGCCTTCAGAAGAAAACATTTAGTGAGCATATGAGCCAGTGAATTGTTTCCCTCTGAAAAGGAATTCTTGGCTGAAGTTGAGTTTATGTCCCTGGAACAATTTATTCCCTTTGCACTAACAGAAGATAGATAGGGGCTCGTTCGGCATCAGATTTCCTGGTTGTAGTTTAGCTTGTTTACAGCTGTCTGCTCAACCAGTAGTTGCTTCCTGGAGGCCGCAGCAGAGCCAACTGTAAAATGACTTTAAACAGAGTTAACAAAAATGTTACAGATAGAAGTCATTCACCAGGCACATATATTTAAAGTGCTCAAACCTCTCCTAATGCTCCTTTAACTGTTCCTGGCTGATAAAGCCTGGCTGTTCTGCAGCCCCTGGGGAATTCAAGCTGTCTAGTGCATCTATGAAACCTTCTAGATGCACATTCTAGGTAAGTCCCCCAGCCACACCTGTCTGCTGATGGCCTGTGCAGCTGCAGCAAGCTATAAACACCCATAGGAATGATGACCCGAAGCCTCCTTCACAGCTTTTTAGATCATGATAGTCAGCATAATTCAAGTCACACACTTGTTGTTTTGTTCTTTCTTGATAACTCCAAATGTTAAATAATTTTTTTCCTCAGAAAAACAACCTACTGGCTGGAACCTCTCCTTTTAGCCTTGTTCAGCCAATCCTTAACAGAATTTATGTTTCAGCCTTGGTCATCCACATGTTCGCAGGAAAGTGTGTCCTTGAAATAATAACTCATGAAGCAGCTGCATGCTCACTGTTGGGAACACAGCCGTGTTGTTGGCTCTTCCTCTTCAGAGATGTTAGTTCTGTCCTCTCAAAGTGTCAGCAAAATAGAGGCCATGATAATCTAAGGCTACATTTAACATTTGGGAATAGTGAAGGGTTTTCAATATTTCCTGCAAGAAATGAAAAATCTCAAGAAGAAAATGAGTAGCTGTAGTCAAGTCACGGTGAAGACATGATCACAGCTCCAATAGGTGGACTGGCTAGAATATCAGGCTGACATCTCCGAACCGCCTTCTAAGTATCTTGAAAAGGTCTGAAGTGCCGTGATCTGTATTTGTTTTCCAGGGTTCCATGAAAGATGCCAAAGAGACAAATAGAAGTCTAACCTTCAAACTGGAGGGGCTGGAAGTAAGCAAAAAGGTTGCATAGACTGGGAGCTAGCACAAGGCATCTGGATGCTGAATGTGAAGCCCGTGACATTCTGCATTGTTCTATCACAATTTTAGAAAAATCGGAGTTTCCAAATTCCAGCAGAGCAAGTTCAAGTATCTCTAATCACAAGATTCAAAGACCTTTAGTTATGTCCATCTGAATTGTGAGTTGAATGTGAAACAATAAGATTAAAACATAAATCTTACAGGGTTTTCTACTTTGCGTTCTGGTTTCTTAGGCTTTGGGCTGCATTTTTTTTAAAGCTTTAACTTGCTTCCGTTGTCAGCCTAGAAAATTAAGAAGTAATGGCAAAAACCAAATTTCTGATTCTAGCTGCTGAAATTTTAAGAGAAATGAAAAATTTCACAAAAGTTTTGGTAAAATGTTAGTTGCAACAGTAAATGACTAGTAAGTGAGCGAGCGAGAGACAGACACACAAAAAAGCAGAACCTGTGATAAGAGGTCCTATTCACTAAGAAAAGCCCAGGCATTGCAAAGAATGTGTGGTGGTGTGGGATCTGCATCCCTGGGCAGCTCTACATCTTTGGCTGAGACTTTCACCATGGCATTACAGAAGAGCTGAGGACTCACCAGTAAAACATGCCCTTAGGGAATTACATACATTAAAATTCTGATTTATATCTCCACCATCAGGAAATGGATTAGGCCTGTAAATGGAATAGTGCCCATGTTCAAAGAGCTCTCCTAGCTAGCTGGTTATCTGGCAAATGCTCACAGACACAGGGGTTCTCAGGTAATGCTGCCATGAGGTTATTAGCACCCCTTATTTCAGATGCATATGAACTGCCTCCTGCCACAGTCTCTTGCTAGTTTGGAAGATTCCTCTTCAGCATTATTCTCTGCATGTTATTTGACTGTAAATGGTTATCAGGTTTTTTCAGAGAGATGATGCCACAGCCAAAAGCTCCAACCTGTTCTCAGAGGGGGACCCAATTCTAGAATTTAAATACAGACTCAGAAATGAGTTATGAACCCCAGCCCCATGATGACTGTTAATCTTTGTAAGGCTTAGTCATAAATATAGACATAGGACTAGCTGTCAGCTCCCTCCTATGTCTTGTGATGTCAGCTTGAAGGGACATCAGGTCCAACTTCTTTTTTTTTTATTGTTACTTGCCCCTTCTTTAGCTGCACAGATTGCTTAAGAGAATAGCACTCTTTGGAATTTGACCCATGAGCCCTGATAGTGAAAATAATATACTTCTCACAGAGGAGTAGGGGACTGAAAGAGTAACTTCGGGCAATTAGTTTAACTTTGACTATAAATATTCCTTCTCATTCCTTGTGACACTGTTAACAGCTCTGCTGGCAAATCCCAATTCTCTGGCAATATTTAAGCTGCCTGTCAGTTGGCAGAAGCTTGGTGGTGCCTAGTGCAAGTGAACAGAATGAGACCCAGCTGAACGCAGTAAGTTCCCTTTCAGCTTCTACCTCGTGTCTGGGGAGGTGTTGGTTGATTTGTGGGTTCGGTTCTGCTTCTAGACTGAGTTTTATCCCTGACAACTGGTAGTGTTTTTAGAAGGTGCAGGAACTGGGAATGTTTTTAAAAAATCTTGTTTAAGAGTCAGTGATACAAATCCAATGGGTTACCAGATACCCACGTGGGCTGCCGTCTCTCCCAGAACCATTGATAAAGGGCTGGCTTCAACAGGTTCATTTCAATGCCACGGATGTTCTTTCCTCAGAATCTCTGGCGGGGAAAGCACTGCAGCTTGTGCCAGGAACTAAGGGAGACAGAGCTGTGAGCTGAATTAACAAAACCGTCAAAATTTCCACTGGGCCATGGCACAGACAGAATTTGAAATCAGAGCAGCAGGGTTTACTAATTTTTTTCTAATGCCCATTGTCACTGCCGTGTCTGGGGAACCTGCAGGAAGATCTTTAAACAAGCATCTGCAGACATACCTCAGGTCTTGGAATTTTATCTGGATTTCCTTTCTTTATTGATGGGCGCTACAAATGCCTGCAGTGTTCTGCCCTAGATCTTCATGCATTTCAGAGGAACAGACACAAAGCAACTCCTGTATACAAGGCTGAATCCTGCATGAGATTAAGCATATGTAGGGAATAGAGATAACTGTATTGCAGGTGCTAAACACCTGGCTATGGGCTGTGATATGGGAAATGTGTTGGGATGAAAAGAAACCTGGCAATATCAGAGCAGCAGAAGAGAAAGTAGAAGGTGATAAAAAGGGGTTAGCAACTTCCCAACGCTGGCATACCAAACCACATTTTTCTTTTCTAAGTTAGAGGTTAAGCATGCCAGTAGAAGCTCAACGAGAGCCAAGATACATTGCCTCTTAAGGAGGTAAGATACTACCGATCATCTGATTGTCAGTGTCTTGCATCCTTGCAAGACAAAAGTTCCCACGGAATTAAAAACCAGTAGGATCCAGGACTTTATAAGGCACAGAAAAGATTCTGTCAAGATGCAACTCCCAGGTCCTAGCCCTGTACTGGTGCTACTGTCAGTCACTCAGAATACAGCCGTGTATCATCTTTGGCATTTGCGCTGTAAGTTGCTGATGTCTCAGAACACAATCTGCTCGCTGTGGAAAGGAGATAATGGGACTGTATCTTCCACTGGAAAACTGCTTATTGCCCAACCTTTTTGTAAATGCATGAGTCCAGTACTACTCCTTCAGGCAGAGAATATGCTAGAGGAATGTGTTCAAGAGGGATACAGGCTAAAACTTGCACTTTTGAATACTGCCTAGTGGAATGAAATTTCTGTATTTCAATCTCCAGTGCATTTGCAACATTGCCTCAATATGCAAAGATGTTGGGCAAGCTTTTATGAATCAATTCTCTCTCTTGATTCTTTTCATACATCTAGGCATTAAGTAAATGGCAGTGCCACTGATGTACAAGTATAATTAGTTGCACTTCAGGCAATTCTTTAGCCAACAGGTAAGTTAAGGGCAGTTTTCAGCTGATGGTCAGAGCTGTAATTTAATATATTAACAAATGGGTGAAGCCAGTGGAGATGACTGTAAACACCTGACCCAAAAACAAGGTGGCTGTTTCAGTCTGTGCGTTGTTGAGAGCACTGGGTGTTCAGAGGAAGAACTTGTTTGACTGCTCCTCTCTTTCAAGTTTCACAGCACAGTGATCAGACCATCAATGGTAGGGAGCTGAATTCTGGTGCAGGGCACACACTCCCTCTGCCATGGGTCAGTCAGGGCAAGTTACCACATAGCCTTCCCATGCCCCACCTTTTTCATTTGATGCTTCCCAACCTTTTTTTTTGGTGGGGGGGGGGGGGCGAAAAAAAAATTGTGGGGGGGGGGGGGGGGAGCTTATAACGTGACCTTGCAAGTGCAATAGAGGCCAAAGAACCTGACCAGCTGCATATGCATGACAAGGGATCAAGAGGCAGCAAACACTTGGCCCGGCTGTCCCGGAAATGACTGTATGCAAGCTCAGAGCTGAGCAGGCTGTAAAGCAGCACTGAGCCTCGGGAGTGGAAGGTCTGCCCTGTTCAAAGGAACCATCTCCTTGGCTTGCAGGGTAAGAGAAAGAACATTTTATATCTTTTCCCTGTTTGGTTAGAGAGCATGGCAGTGAGGTGCTGGATCACAGGGATCTCTGGGTGACCTTCAAAGGCCTCCATGGAGCCAGAGGCTGGCTGTTTGAGGTCACTGTTTGCCCACGCTAAACCACCATTTAGCACATTTTGTTTTCAAAGCAAGGTGTAGCCTGGATGAGGAAAGGAAAGAGGAGGAAAAAGAAGAACCGAAACTATATCAATTCACATACCCAGCCAGCCTCCTTGCATGGGCTTTATCCTGCCCTCTTCTTCCAATGAGCACTAGATTTACACTACAGGGAACCCTGAAGGGGTCCAGAGAGCTCTTGCAGGGATTGCTCATTCAGTGGTGCTCCATTAGGCATTTCTGGAAAAGAAAATGAGCTTTTATTTATGTGGGAAACAGATGAGTATCTTACCTTCAGGAAATGCCTCTGCCTTCTGTCAGTTTGTGCCAGTCCTGTTACTGCTATCCTGTGTATCAGTGATACCTGCTGCTCATCTCTGGTGCCTCCAGGCTCATTCCAGCACTGCAGAGGGTACATCTGCCTCTCTGCTTGGTGACAGGCTGCCATTCTGTATCCTTGATAAGGGAGTGGAGAGGGCAGTGTCTGCTTGCCAGGAACTCAGACTTACTCAAGAGGAAATTCAAATACTCTCTGCACCCAGGCTCCAGCTCTTCTGTGGCTAAGAGGAAAAAATTCTACTGACTCTTGGAATAGTTCACACGTATTTACATCTTGATGGCTCTTCGTCATCTTCGACAGCACTTTTGCAGTAGTGGCTTCTCACCAAGGCCAGTCCAGGCAGTGCTGCTGCACTGGGAGCTACAGGCTCCTCCAGATCACCTGTTCCCACCCTGTAAAGCAGGGCTGCTCTCTTGCTCTCCACCCACTGAGAGTACCACCGTGCTGAAGGATGCTAGATTTGCATGATGATAGTAGGATCAGGATCCCTCTGCTCTGCCATTTCCCAGTCCTTTCCTCTGGCTATTTCAGCTATTTACTCCTTCTCTCTAGTGCGTCTATTTCTCTGCCAGCTGGCAAATTATCCAAGTCAAAAGAAATCTAACCAATCCATAATTTGCCTGGCTGCTGACAGCTTCCTTCATGTCACAGATTAAAGGGATTCATGAATGGAAACAAATGCCAGATATTAGCCCTCTCCAGAGCACTAGCATGAGCAGCATCGCAGTCAAAACCGCGGTGCTGGTAACTGCTGAACTATTCAAGAAACTGTCAACATCTTCACTGTGCTGCCACAGCAGTCCATCCTCACATAACCACAAAACCCATTTCTTAACAGGTAGATGCATCAAGAACAAAAAACTATTCAGCTTGCATAACAAATAATGGAGACCACCAGCAGCACTCCATCATCTGTGACTCCCCAGTGGGATGGGTTTCCCCAGAAGACCTTGGACTCTGTGGACATTGTTGTTCTTGTTCTGTATTTTGTATTTGTCCTGGCTGTTGGACTGTGGGTAAGCAGATACCACTAAAAGCTTTCTTATGTGCCCTGTTACACTGAAAAATATGGCAGTTTAAGTCTCAAATTATTTTATGTCGGCTTGAATTAGGCCACACTTCACTGAATTCAACTGAACAAGCTGAAAAACACAGTTTACAGGTCCTTTTCCTCACTTCAATCTGGGGAAGTGTCCTTGCTACTCTAGAGGAGGGCTGTTCAGCTCTAGTGTTTGCAAAGGTTTTGAGAACACTTGTATGGAAGCCATTGTGTAAGTACAAAGTATTACTACTAGTAATGTTTTGTTCAACTAGGAAAGAATTCAATACAAATGCTGTCCTATAAATCATCTATGTTTGTCCACAGTGAGGTCCCGACAGCAGATTCCATAAATTAAAAATACTGTTTATAATTAAGCCAGAAAGACATTTTTCTGTCATGGCTTTTGTCATAGCCGCCAAAGAACAAGCCACTGTCATAAGACAGAGATGAGTAGTTGCTCCCTTCAAACGTGGTGCATAACTCTGATGGTATTGTATGAAGGTAACTAAAATCTCTGAAGAACAAGAGTCCATGAGTAATATGTATAATAGCTAGCATTTCTCCTGGCTGCACCTGATAATTAGGGATGTCCATAGTTCTTGTCCAAAATCTGCTTGGATATCTCATGGATCTGGACTGATGTTGTTTCCTTACTGCAGAAAACATTTAATCAGGATGCTGATATGATAGAAAAATTTGTGCATGGCTCACCACACCAGCTGTTCCCCTTGTCCTTCTACAGCTCTTTTTCCTGATATGCTTCATTTCAGAACTTTGCCCTGCAGGATTTCTAAGCAGTAACTGCAGATTCTTTAGTCTAAAAAAAACTATTCGCTTTCAATGGATGACAGTACAGAATTTTCTGGGACAATTGCTGCATGCTTGGTAATGTTCTGAGCAGCAATTGAAGGGGCTGCTTAAACTTTTGTTCTGTTTTTCTGCTTTCCCAGTCCATGTGGAAGACACAGCGAAGCACTGTAAAAGGCTACTTTCTAGCTGGAGGAGAGATGCTTTGGTGGCCTGTAAGTATCTTTGTTAGACCTATTGTGCCCCTAGGCTACAGTAAAGATGAAAAGCACTTTTGTCCCAGCAGAATTCATTTCTCCACTCAGAACAAAAGATGACTTCCATGTTTTGCAAAGGCCCGGTTATAATACTGGCTTTTTTTTTCCATATTCAAGATTGGGGAAATGAAGCTGCTGCTGCAATACACCTGTCACAGCCCTGGCCCTGTGCTAGATCCTACTTTGTGGCTTGCAAAGCCTGTCTGTTTTGGCATGCTTTGTTTTGGAGATTTCTAGGAATTAACTGTTAGGTCCCTGCACTGGATGCAGCTTTACACTGAGCCAGTCTGCTAGGTGGGGTGTTTCATTTTGGGTTGGTCTGGTAAGCCAGTATCTGTTAATAAGGGTTTGATGACCTGACATTTCCATTTGTTACCTTCACCTGCTGCTTTGTTCCAGTGTGAAAGATTAGATACTGATTTGGAAGTAGGATGGTCTTAAACATGCCCACAGATGAGCAATAGGCAGTGAAGGCATGAAAGAACCTGGAGAAAGGTGCCAGAGCCACTGAGCATATAGGCAAAAAAAGAAGGTGACAGAGGGTGAAAAGGATTTCATGTTCCCTGTAGTCATGCGTGGAGGTACAGCGTCACTGTATAACTTCTGTGGAATGAACACACAGCGGCTTATGCATGCACTGGAACACCAACCCACCCTGTTTATATCCTAACACCAGGCCTGAGAATAATGCTTTATGCCAAGGCCAGATCTGACTTCCTGTTTCTTTCTCCAGGTGGGTGCATCCCTATTTGCTAGTAATGTTGGAAGTGGCCACTTCATAGGTCTGGCTGGGTCAGGAGCAGCATCAGGAATTGCTGCAACAGCCTACGAGTGGAACGTGAGTGTGGCAAGGCAGAAGCATATCTCAAGAATGCTGGAAGCTGGCTGGGGTCATTACATGCTGCACTAACGTACATCCACCTGCAGCTCTCTGCACAAAGAGCACAAAGCTGTTTCCGTATTATATAATTTTGAATTAAGATTGTTCGGGTCTGTTCAATATCTGAGCAAGAGCCCTCCATCAGCTGTATCTTCTTACTAGAGGATAGGAGACATCCAATCCTCTGACATGTTACCATTGGGCAAAGTCACCTTTGGGTAAGTATAGGATCAAACTGGTGACTATGCAGGACGCCATAGTTGACTCCTTGCTGTATATGGCAGCTCCTCATAAAGTGTGAGTACCCACACATCACCACACGAGGATCTAGATCTGGCAACTCCAAAGGCTCAGACTCCTACTGCGGGAGCTAGAAGTCACCACTAGCTGTCAGTGATTTGAGGCCTCTGAGAGCTAACTGAGCCCGTGTCCCCAGGGTGTACGTATGTGCTTAATCCACCTGATCACAGCAATGACCAGCATCTTTGACCTTCATTTCCACTTGTTTTGCAGGGGATGTTTTGCGTTTTGGTGCTGGCCTGGCTATTCCTTCCAATTTATATAGCAGCAGGAGTAAGTAAATGGGATGCCTTGTGTGCATCCATGATTTGCTGATTTTTAAACCACCTGTTTGGCTCATGGGTTTAACCATCCCCTAGTGCACCTGTGTTTGTTCTGGAAGGCAGAGAGCAAACCATGGTGCATTAGACTGGTCTATGGTCTGGACTATTACAGAACAGGGCCCTGCAGATTAGATATCGCCTGGAAACAGTAGGAGGGGCTCAGGCAAGGAGGCCAGAATTCAGATAAAGCCAGGAATAAAGAGGATAGAATTGCACCATCTTCCGAGGAGATGGAGGCCCTCATATCATAGTTTATACAGCGCCATTATAGCAAAGACAAGTGTTTGCTAAGTTGTTACGCTGGCATAAGTGGGCAGCTGAGAACCACATGCCAAAACAGTGTAACTGACAGGAACACCATCTGGACTTCTGTTAGTGTGAACTACCCACCTCCACACTGGTGTTGTGAATGAGCCCTCTGCAATTTATGGGGGTAACTGTATAGCACCTTCTCTAACAGTATTTTCTCTCACATAGGTTACTACCATGCCAGAGTACTTGCAGAAACGTTTTGGAGGCAAAAGAATTCAGATATTCCTAGCAATTCTCTACTTATTCATCTATATATTCACCAAAATATCAGTAAGTAGAAAAAAATTAAAGTAGGCTGAATTAAATTCACTTTGAAAGTGTGTACTAATCAGTGAGACTGAGAAATGCAACTACTGGCCCTTCTTCATAGGTACAGGGAAGGGTGTACAGGGAAGGGTGCCCAAAAATACCTCAGGAAGATGATAAGACTATAATTATTTTGAGAAGCTAAACAAAGAGAGTCACATTTTTTTTGTCATGAAGGATCTGAATGTGTGCTACAGTAGGAGGGAAAGCTGAGGGTTAATATACTGAGCAATAATCCATTCAAAAATTAAGCAGTCAGCATGGATGTGTTTGTTGTTAGATTTCATGTCTGGCTAGTTTACTTGGTTTATTCCCTTTGTATATTTATTCCCTGCATAGATACCAAACACTGTTATATGCAGGATGAAAGACAACGTAGGCATTGATATGCCTTCAGGTGAAAGGAGTCCAGTAATTTATTGCTCCTGTTTGATGTAGTGCCTTGAATAAATAACTGAATCAACCCTTGTGCAGCACCTCACTAGCTATTTATTAACTATGCAACAGTGCATGAATTGGTAAAATCAGAAAAGTCTCTGCCAGTGTTTTTCCTTTATGTACAGGGCCAGAGTGGGAAGAGCAGTCTGACACATGCCTGCTAATGTTCCTTTTGCAACTGACGTTACTCACAGTATTCATGTGGGCACCATGTAGCTAGACTCGGGTTCTCTTTTTAGGAAAAAATCAACCATTTGATGCAAATCTCTAATGATAGGATTCCTGAGAGAGAAAATGGGTCGCTCAGATGCCTTTATATCTACCTTTCCATGTTCTGCAGTTTGCTTATCCTAAAGCTCTCCTAAAATGCAGCATTTTCACATAGTTGCAGAACAAGGTGGCCGCTGAGTGGCTTACCCCCCAGCCCTGAGGATACTCTTTCTTATCAGTTCACTGTCAGCAGCAATCTCTGTCACTGTGTCATCAGAAAAGAATTCGCATTATGGCAAACTTCTGAGCTCCAATTGGTGGTAGGCCTTAAGACACCCTGGGGGGGAATGTTTGCACATTAAGGGTGCTTCAGTTTTCAGCCTGTGCAGCTCTACCCAGTCAGCTCACTGACTTCTCAGCTGTCTGTTCATTACTCTGGGGAAAGAGAAGCGTACGCGGCTCATACAAATACCTTTCTTGGGATAGTTTCACCCCCGTCCCCTCCAAGACCAATAATAATAAAATCCAAACGCTAAACTGAGCCTGGTTTTAAGGTGTTGGAGGAAGGAGGTAGGGCTGCAGAGGTACATGCCTTTTGGAGAAGACATCAAGGGAAATCAGAGAGTCACACGCAGTAACAAACCAAGCTGGTCTCACTAAAAGCAGCAGCTTGGTCAGCTTAACATTCATGCTCCCTGACACTACCAGCTTAGGGGGGCTCAGCAGTATCATCATTGCAACTGTGATTGATAACTATCTTTTTCACTAGGTCGATATGTATGCTGGGGCCCTCTTCATTCAGCAAGCCTTACACTGGGACCTCTATATCGCTGTTATAGGCTTGCTGGCAATCACAGCTGTTTACACTGTTGCAGGTATGTCACTAAGTTTCAGATCATGCAAAAGACATTATGCCGCATTACATATCCTACTTAGAGAGTTTAGTATATTCATACAATGTACCATGCATCCTCATGCTTGTGATAGGAGTCCTGGATTTTCCATGCAGTCTGTTCTTTGCCATGAGTATGGACAAAAGAAAAAAGGCAATTGATAATTCACCTTTCAAAAAAATTACTCACCAGGTAAGAGTAAATGAGTGCCATTTATAAGGCCATACCAGACATGGATGCATGTCTGCCCTGGCCTAAGGAGAAGCTGTACTCAAGGCATTTGCACAATACCTTTTCCCTCTGGGCTTTTTGGAGGTATGAGCGCTTGACATAATGAACGGTGTAATGCGGAGGGCACTGTCAATGCTTGGGTGCCCTTTCACAGCTTATGAGTGGCCAAATGGAAAAAAGCCATGCAAGGCGAAAGAAGCAAATCTCAAACAAAGAAAGGTTTCTCCTTTCCCAGTGCTCACCCCTGGTGATGTTGCTTGTAAAGATCCCCTCCTTCCTCCTTATTCAGCTTGGGTTTTGTCTTGGAGCTTTCCCAAGCATTTCCCGTAGAAGTATTTATACTGGACTTTGGCTTTCTAGTGACAAAGTGTGACTCATTATGATTCAAAACATGAGATGTTTCAGCCAAAGTGCCATGCACAGCAATTGGTCGAACTACACCACAACGTGGTCAAAACACACTACAGAACATGATAGCATGCCAGGCAAGGTTCTCAGATTACACTGTTTGTCAAAATGTTTTTTAAATCGTAAAATGCTATGACATAGAACTAATCCAATTTCCCACAGTTTGTTGCTTCTCTCTTTTCTATAGGTGGCCTGGCAGCTGTAATATACACAGATGCTCTGCAAACTTTCATCATGCTGATTGGGGCTGTGACTCTCATGATCTTCAGTGAGTATTTCCCTGGGGTTTTATTACTAAAACTATGATGCTTTATCAAATACTACAAATACGTTTGATCATTACAACAGATTGTTTAATTGCTGTTCTGCGAACTGTTTTTTTTATATATGTTCCCGTTATAATGTATGCACATACAAATAATCTTCCATTAGTTCTTTATATGGTAAAAATGCACGACTAGTCCATGAAAAGTATCTAAAGAAGAACTACATTCTGAAATAATATTATAGAGGAACAAGCAACTTCTCTAGTCAGCAAACTTATAGTATTAAGCTATCATCCAGCCCCATGTTAAAGTCAATAGCTTCCGATTTTAAAGAATGTTTGTGGAAAATCACCCACAGCAAACTACAGAGACTGAAAATAAGAGTACAAACCTGTTAAGATGTGATAACTACTTCTTATGACCTATTTTAGGCTTTGTTGAAGTTGGCGGCCTTGAAGGTTTGCAGACAAAATATTTCAATGCCATTCCTAGCAACCACAAGGAAAACAGTAGCTGCGGCTTACCAAGAGAAGATGCTTTTCACATTTTTCGAGATCCTGTTACCTCTGATCTTCCTTGGCCAGGAGTATTGGTAGGAATGACCATCCCGTCTCTGTGGTACTGGTGCACAGACCAGGTATGTTACTGCTTATTTCTTTAAAATCAGCTCTTTTGTTTGGTTTCAAGAGTATGTTATTCGGTGCTTGAATCCAATTACGAACCTTGAATTTGCAATAAAATTTGGACTGCTTTTCTATTTCTGATAGGAAATATAACAGGATAGGATATATATCAGAGGATTTCTGATAGGAATTCAGTAAAATTTGATGGTTTCAAACCCAAAGCAGCAAAGCTTGATATGCACAACTAAGAGTTTTGGGAATAATTTCAACATAAAAAGGAGGGAGAATGTGTGTGTGTGTGTGTGTGTGTGTGTGTGTGTGTGAGGGGTTAATCCCAGTCTCATTCACACTCTCTTAGAAAGAAAGTTTTTGAACTCCAGTCTTTCACTTCTTGTGAATCACATGCGAATTCACTCTCTTTCAACTCTCCAGGGGACTGATAACCATCACTCCTAGTGAGAGCATCAGAGCCAGCAAAAATGAAGCCCTAAACAATCTTCTGATGTCCTTGTAGTATTCTTTTATCTAACTCATTTTGCTAGTTTAAGACTCGGTCTGGTTTGCTAGAAGGGCTACTGAACTTACAAGACATAGTTAACAGGTCAGAGAGGCCTCCAACAAAAGATGAAAAGAAAATTGTAAGATGGAGTGTGAGTAGTTTAAGAAAGAGATTATATAACATGGTATACTGCATAAGCAAAGGCTTGGATTTGATGACACAAAAAGCGCCTTTCAGGTCTACACTCCTGTAAGATACAGAGGATCTGAAGCAGGAATTATAAAGATACAGCCAAGCTCTGTTTTCATCCTGCTCAGATTTCAATAGTTTAGAGGAGAACAAAGTATACATGTGAATAATGCAGGAAATCTGTGCCAAAGAGTAGAAAATGATCCAGCCATAAGTTTCTGTTGAGTGTGGAGTAAAGAGCATTCCCCACCTTGCAGATGTTATGACAGTGACAGACCGCATGCTTGTTGTACCTGTGCAGCTGACAATAAATTCTTACTCTGAAGTAACATGCTGCATTGCCAGAGATTGCAGGCTGCAAACAGAAATCAGTATCACCTCATCTACAGCTAGCTACTCTCTGCAAGACAGTGGACCAAACAGATTTCTTAATTTCTAGGTCATCGTTCAAAGGTCTCTGGCTGCTAAAAACCTCTCTCATGCCAAAGGAGGCTCCTTGATGACCTCCTACTTGAAAATTTTGCCCCTCTTTATGATGGTAATGCCAGGCATGATCAGCCGGATTCTCTTCCCAGGTAAGTGCTGAAGGAAAGAACTGTTCCCTCTATTTGTCACTGACTGTGACTACTGCAGAATAAGTTAAAGGGTTGAAATGCATCAAATGCCCGAAATATGAAGATATTTTCCTTCAATTGCAAACGGCACATCCTCATGCAGGAGACCCTAGACAGCTTCTTTTAAAATGTACTGCTATGTGTGCTAGAGCAGTTTGCTATCATCCTTTCTCACAGCAATCTTGCTGATCTATTCTGAGTTGCTACCTGTAGCTGCTCTTCTGCATTCTGAGCATGCACTCAGGCCCCTCCTGCACCCAAAATGTTACTCTTCCAGGAATTCAAGTTTGAAGCACTCGGAGAAATCCTGATATACCACCTAGTATACCACCTTTACAACCCCTGACCGCTGTAAACTGCTCTTTAGGTGAGAACATTGTGCGTATGCCTATCCACTAAGGGGTGTGCCAAAAGTGGGTAGATAGCCTTAACTCTCAAACGAGCAACATTCCTAGAGAAGAAGTAGACATACAAGACAGGTCAGCTACTTCTATTGATAGGATCTTTTGCGTGGAAGAAAAAAAAAAAGGAAAAAGGGGGAAGCCCAGTGCTGCTCTTCTCTCACTGTGTTCAGATAGTCCTGCATTATTTGCTGGAAGATTTCTAAGCTTTCCAATATCCAGTATCTCTTAGAGAACAGTTTACAACATTCAGTAGACTAGCTTATAGTTTAGATATATTTGTTTCTGGTGATTACTGAATATTGCCTCTCACTCCCCCTTGCTTATTTTAGATCTGGTGGCTTGTGCAGATCCAGAAATTTGTCGAAAAATCTGTGGCAATCCATCTGGCTGTTCTGATATTGCTTACCCTAAGCTGGTCATAGAACTTCTGCCTGTAGGTAAGGAGCTTGGTTATCAGTGCTGGCACAGACAGATTAGATATCTGTGAGAAATGTTCAAAGACAATGGAAAGATACCTGTGAAAAATGTTCAAAGAAGAAAGTACCCTGCAGCTATAATTTCAGTGGGGTTTATATTGGGCTCGGTGAGACAGTGGAAAGAGATAGCATGCAACAAGAGAGAGAGGAGATGATCCAGGATCCAGAGGTCTAGTCCAGTCAAATTCAGATGAAAGATAAAGAGCAGATATTTAACAGTGAGAAAAATCAACTGTTAAAGCAATGTACACAGGGCCTCCCTATCACTGGCCATTTTAAAATCAGAACTAAAAACATTTTTAAAGCCTGTTCCACTTCAGAGAAGAATTCAGGGACATCCTAGAGCTGGAGTTATGCAGGAGTCCAGCCTCGTTACAATTGTTCCATCTATCTTTGCCATCTATCCCTAGCTGAGAAGCAACATATCCCACATTCAGCACATCCAATTCTATCTCCAGGCTGTAGCAAATCCTCTAAAGACTGAGAGCTGCAAAACCAAGTGTACTGAGACACCCCAAAGGGAAGACAATCACAGAACAGTGAATAGATAGGTTCTTGCTTTCTCTGCCCCTCTCAGTCAGCCAGCAATGCCTCTGCAGTCCCCATTCAGAAAGGAAGAAGTCTGAGTCACTGTGCCTGTGAATCCCCTTGCTGTCCGAGGCTCCTGAGTGCCTGATGTGGGCTGTACGGTCAGAATAAAGGAAGGAAGCTGCAAGTTTTTATCTGAGAGGTTTTGTTCATAAGATGCTTGACCTTCCTGCATCTGGTCTTTACCTGTACTGTCCTTCAAGTGGCTGCACTTCTCCTTTTGCTTCCAGGACTTAGGGGCCTGATGATGTCAGTGATGATAGCAGCTCTTATGTCCTCCTTGACTTCCATCTTTAATAGCGCCAGTACCATTTTCACCATGGACCTCTGGAAACATTTCCGGCCTTGCTGTTCCGAGTGGGAGCTCATGATTGTTGGCAGGTAAGGAAAACTAGGACATGCCACATTGTATCAGAGAACCTTGTCAGCACACCTTGCTCCCTGCTGCCACTGTGCAGTATCTTCAATATCTGTTGCTCCGCATCAAACGGGAAAAAATGAGAGAAGAATCGGACCGCATTTTTCTTTAGAGCCACTCTTGCACTCTTCTTATTAGATGGTAGGGGAGAATCTGGCTCAGTCAGTCAACACTAGTAGAGTAAAACCAAGATTTCATAGCACCAAGACACACAGACAGAGGCATGAATTGAACAGCCAGAGATGATGCCTGGGGAAACCTGAGTGATGCAAAATGGGCAAGGGATCCAATACAGGCGAAGAAGGGCTGAGTTCTGGAAAGAAACATATTGCACAGGTTTGTTGGAGGACTGGAGTGGAAGCCCTCTTATTGCAAGAGCTCTCGCTACGAGACTTGCAGTCTGAACAATCGGAAAAGAAAGGTCTGAGCGAACAATAACAGCATCTTTTTTCTTGCACAGGATCTTTGTGCTGCTGCTCACTGTGGTATCCATCCTGTGGATCCCATTGGTACAGGCTGGCCAGGGAGGGCAGCTCTTTATTTACATGCAGTCGATCAGCTCCTATCTGCAGCCCCCAGTGGCAATGGTGTTTATTTTGGGTTGCTTCTGGAAAAGAGCGAATGAAAAGGTAACAACTCTGCTGCGCTCAGCACAGTTGCCTTTGTGGTCTCTCTGTCCTCATGAGAGTCCTGCAGTTCAAACCACAGCCCCAGGCTGCAGTTCTGGCTCCTCTTGTGGTGTTTGGGAGAATGAATGCACCCAGTCCACTGCAAAGCCCAAGCAACAATCAGCCCATGGCAGGAGGGAGTATTCCCTGCTGTTTTCCAAAGACTCCACTGTCATTTCAGAAAGAGTGGGATGATTGCATTACTCAATTGCAGAGTGTCCTTCACAAATCTTGGAGCCTTTAAGGGGCTGATTAGCCATGCAGTCATTTATTACATGGACTTGTACCATCTGCATCAGGGGGCCTGCAGAGAGCAAAGTGAGCCCAGGGAGTTAAGGAGGCAGACGAAATGGCAGTAGGAGTCCAGTTACTCCAATAAGTAACTGGAAATGGTGCTGGGAAAAGGGGAAAGCTAGGATCTGGAGTATCTGGGAAACTTCCCTAAAGGGCTTCTGTTAGGTAGAGAGTAGTTAGCTATAAGCACCCCACGGCTAAGACAACCATTAGGATGCAAATATCACTCTTCCAAGTATTCTGGCATAAGATGTTGCATCTTCCCTCTATACCAGAAGTAAGGATCCATTTGACCCCACACAGAAGAGATACGAGGTTACTGTAACAGCACCAATGGATCTACATAAACAGCAAGAGCAGGAAAAAGAAGAGAGGGAAGGCCCCCTAACACAGCAAGGAGAAAGCCTGGCCAGTTTATAGCCTAAGAACACACATGGGTACAGACTGGATGTTTGTTTCTTGTTCCAATAAAGAATAACCTTAATTTCTTAGGGTGCATTCTGGGGCCTGGTGATTGGGCTGCTGCTGGGCGTCATTCGATTGGTGCTGGACTTCATTTATCCAGAGCCCCAGTGTGGAGAGACAGACATCAGACCAGGTGTGGTGAAATACATGCACTATCTCTACTTCTCCATGGTCCTAGCTGCGATTTCTACAATCACTGTGCTGGTTGTGAGCATGCTCACAGAACCCCCCTCGGAAGAAATGGTGCGTCACTCCCTTAGATTTCTTTCATTACTTTTAAATTGTTTCCAGGATGCCCCACATTATATCCACGGGAATAATGTAGAGATGAGTAATGTGGAAACTGAGGTTTCCATTCATTCTTTTATGAAAATGCTTGCAATAACTTGTAATGCAATTCCCTCTCTGCTCCAGCATCCTGCTGCCTTGCCATTTAAGATTTTGGTCCCACAAATCCAGAGTCCCACCCTGGCGAGCGGTCAACAGTAGATGCTAAGAGCCAATCTTAATTCCAAACATGTATTTTTAACAAGAGATTCCAGCTTCTAGATCATCTTTATCAACTCTCTTACTAATTTAGTGAGGAACCATTTTTCCTTGCAGAAAAGAGAAATCAAGGGCAGAGAGCACACTTCCTCTGGAACAGGTTTGTGCCCGTTTGACTATTCTCTATAGACACACTAAGGCTACAGAAAAACAGAAACGGTAGAAGGCAGGGCCAGAAGGGACCTTTAGAAATCATACAGCTGGTGCATCCTCTTGTTTCAAGATAGCACTAACTATACCTGACACATTTCTGAAAGACCTGTGGCTAACTTATTCTTAAAAATCCCCAGTGATGGAAAGTGCCTGGGGAGGTGTGCGATCAGTTCAAGAGCTTATCTGCCCCCTCAGTAGAAGTTTTTCCTCATCTCCAACCTGTATCTTTCTAGCTTCAAATTGTGCTCACTCCTTACTGTCAGCCAGCCATGGACATCAAGAACATTCCTCCTTAATGAGTCTTTTACATATTTGAAGAAAATAATCATATCTCCCATCTGTCTTCTCTTGTCTAAACAACCCCGGTTCTTTGAATTTTTCCTCACTGGCCACGATTTCCATTCTTTTGCTCTCTTCTTGGCCTTCTCCCACTGACCTGCTCTCAGTCTCCATCCAGTGGTGGACCCATGCTGAAACACCTCATCCTCAGTAACAAAAAGTGAAGAATACCATCCTTCAGGGAGTATATCTGTATAAACAGCCATCACGTTCCATACTAAACTAGAATCAACATGCAGAACTCCAGTGGCAGCCATCACTTTTGTAGTTACCAACAGAGCACTTAACTGCTCACCTGCTCCAACACAGCTGGGGAACAGATTTTGATCCCTTAAAGAAAAGTATTCTCTCTCCAAGCTGCTATACTGCTGAGGTAGTCCTTTAAACAACCATGAGAGCAGTTTTCTTTAACACCACTCTTCATGCCATCAGATAAGTCGGCTTACCTGGTTCACACGTGGGGATCTACCAGTCAAGCAAGACCTAGCAGTCAGCACTTCCCCTGATGCTGGAAATGGAGTGTGTGAAGCTGAGCGTCCAGCTTTCCAGATTGATATAAGCATTGCCTCTGAAAATAGTTCAAATGATAATAAATGTAAGTGCTCCAAAACCATACTCAGTAACACCTACAATTAACAACCCTAAGTATTAGGTAAAGGCTCTGAAGACAAGAAACATTAAAACTGCTTCCTCTGGATTTCTGTATCTTCAGGGTACGCTAAGAGGTTTTACGTGACAGTTTTAGCTAAGCAGAAGTTTAGCTTCTTTTACATCTCTTGATGGCATTACATATGCTTGAAATCAGGAAAGGAGATAGATGGGGTAGAGAGCCATGGCCATTATCCTGCGCTAGAGACTAGTGCTATTTGCACCTGCTGCAAGGAGAGTTGGCTAAAAAAAAAAGGGGGGGGGGGGGGACGGAAGACAGTCACAATTATTTTCATGAAATTCCATTTCTGTTTTTCAGTGATGTTTTCTGATCGGCTCTAGCAGCAGGGAGAACACAGAGCCCTGAGCGGAGTTCTTGACAGATCAGTGAAGGAGGATTTACATTTTTTAAAACTTGTACTTGTCGGTATTAGGTACCCACATGCATAGCAACTCATTCTGCACTTTCCAGCCATGATTATCATCACTTGTTTTTGCTAAGCTTGGGACACTGTTTATGGAACTATGCAGCTTTTGCTGTGTATTCCTGAGACCTAAAAAAAGATACTGAAAAGGCCAGTAAGTTAATGAGTTATTGCGCAGATTTCCCAACTGCTGGGAAGTCTCACTTGGTGTCATTACCTTCCTAGTATTTAGTTACATATGCCCGAACCAACACCAAAGCTGGGAGAACTCCATTTACAAATGCGTGGCTTGGAGTAACCCTAAATGGACCAGAGCATGCACAAGCAAATGGAAGCTTATTGGCGTCAAGCAGTCACAGATAAGCTTTTAGGTTTGGTCTACTGTTACTGTTTCTTAAAATATTGAGAACAGCAGAATCTGAATTCAGATCTCCAGGGAAGAATGAAACAGACACTACAGCCCCAAGCAGCTGTTATTTGAAGGGCTTCCTACATCTTGGTGGGGCTTTTGTATTCATTTAATGAATGATGATGCATTTTTATACAGTAATATCAAAACACACTGTACAGGATCATACTGATACATTCCTGGGATTTGTTCTACTGGTGACATTTTTACCTCACTATTTATTGTCATTTTAGGTACAACTAATACCAAAAAGAGCTCTAAGTTGACGACAGTCTTTCTGTGGCTCTGTGGGATGGAACGCAAACAGGACAATTCTGAGAACGTGATGCCGACCAAACCTGAACCTCCAGTGGCTTCATTGGACGAGAAACCTCTGGTGAAACACGTCCTGAACATCAACTTGATATTATGTGTATGTGCTGGGCTCTTTCTCTGGGCCTACTTTGCATAGTAGTTGGCTGTTTGATTCAAGATGACATCAACTAATTTTAACTGGTGTAAATAGTAATAATTAGCAGAGGGTTAATGTAATTTGTAATCCTTTCTAAATTTTATTTCTTTTTTTAAGAACAGAGATCCTCCTCCCTCATACTTTCCTTATTCCTAATGAGGGGCCTAATTGTGAAAGGTGCTGGGCCTTCTTAGCACCATCACAATTGGACCCAAACTGGAAACAACAGGATAAGTGTAAGGAGCTGAGGAAGGCATCGAGGCAGAAAAGGTTTGTTTGGTTATTTTAAACTTTAAATTATGTTTTTTGGAGTAAAGCACTACCTGGAATTCAGGAAATCTGGATTCTATTCCCATCTGTGCCTCTATGACCAGCTACGGTGTGCTTGATTTCCTTTTCTGATAGCTCCTCTAACTCTGAGGAGTGAATAACTTCTCCAAGTGGCATAAGGAGGGCCAGCATTCGTTTGCGAGGTACTCTGTCGCTGTAGCAAGTGCTTTACTGCCTTAGCTCACGGTGGTTCACCTTCCTCAACGAATGCGCACACGTGCAGTACACAAAAGCATGCGTACAATTAGCATTGGGTCCAGACGCTTCTGTGAGTCTGTGCTAAAGTTAAAGTAATTCTTATTGTCCGCGTATACGTGAGTCTTTCCATGCAGTATGTCAAAACCAAGCACAGTCCTGAGGCGGCAGGGGCAGACCAGCAAGTTGACTCTGACTAACGCCAGCATGCAGCGTAGAAACCAGAAACCGCAGGAACAGCAGTGTTAAATATAATCAAATACACCTGAAGGAACTAAAACAACCCAGACAGCAAAGCAAAAGAACCAACTAACACCGAGCACTGCTGGAGTCGGTGGAGGGGATGATGGCGCGTGCGTGTCGGACAGCACCTTTTCCCCTTCTCCGGACTGTCTTTAGCTGTTCTGTGAGCAGTTTAACGCTGTTAAAAAAATTCCGCCAGGGCCAATAAAAACATTTTAAATAACATATCCTCTGAGGCGGCAGCCAGGAGGAAACATAACCTGGGCTGCACTGTTAGCGTTGTAATTCAGCCTCCTTCTCGTGAGCTTAATCAAACAATGTCCGCTGGTGGCTTTTGTGTAGCTGGAGATGAGCTCATTAAAGCGAGACCCGGCAACCCTGCCCCGTGTGGAGCACTCGTGGGCGGGCGCGAAGGGCCGGGCCGTGGGGTGGCGGGTGGAGCC